ACACTAACATATGTGTAAACGCCAATCTATTATTATTATTATTAAAATCTTCATGTGTTTTTCCATTGATAAGAAAAAACCTTTTTTCTATTTTTTTCTATGTTGCTTTGACCAGGGCTTGAACCCAGGCGCGCACTACTTACAACTACACCACAGCGGCCGACATGAAGATTTTACAACACAAAAAAATCTTTCGGGAAAATTAAAAGTGTTTTGGCTACAATTCATATTTGAATGCACCGGTCACTTTTTTTCAAATGATAGTATTAACTAAGAAATCGTTTGGTATTTTTGTTAAAGAAGGTTTATACATTAGCTATCGTTCTATGTTGAAAAATATCTTGCGCTGTTATGCAAGTTCCGAAGACATAGAAATAATTCACACTTGAGCACATTCTCGAGTAAAATGTCCCACCAATCACAATGGAATGGCCCACTATTTAAGTTACTTGGCAATTTTTTTAATTTTATTTTGGATGCAAGTGTTTCTAGAAAAAAATTTTAGAGGTGAGCATTTTTTATACGGACCCAAATACACAAACACAAAATATTACACCAGGGCTTATAAATTTTTGTTTGCACTTGAGAAGTTGTGCTCAACGAAAAACTAATATTAAGTAAAAAATTACGCACTGATCACGCGTTTTCTCAAAAAGATTTTTCAGCCATGATAAGTAGCACATTGTCCTTTAACCTAGGCAAGCCATATTAAACAGTTAAAAGCAGTAGAAAAAACACAACCCTGCCATGTATTTTGTTGTTGCTTAAGAAACCTAGAATGTCAAAATAGAAAGAAATGTACACACGTTCTTCTTCTGAAGAATTAAAGAAGTATATTTTATACCCATAAATATAAAATAAGTACCGCTCAACGACTACCACAAGAAAATTCACGTTTTTTATAAAATACCCGAAATTCAGTTACAGTTGTAAGCAGCCTTTTTCCTGGCATTTGGTAACTGGCACATTTGTTTAATATCTATAATTTTATTCCTCAGAACCTACAAATAAATGTCTGAAAACCCCCGAGCTTTAGGTCTGACCGCTCAAGAAGTTATATCTTAATAAAAAGTAGATTTTGTGCGAGTTGCACTATACATTTTCTGATTTTCTCGATTTTAGCAAGTAAACTGGTCATTTATACCGTTAGCTTTGCGTCGAATAACTATTTATTGATATTTACGCAAACGAAGGTATAGAAACAGTACGCAAAATGTCGCCATCTCAAAAGATTTCGCCATATGAACAAATCCATTATTGAGAAAAAATAAAACAAGTAATTTTTAAGCAAAAAACAAAACCGACTTCAATTCTCACATAAAAAATTTAAGATTATCGTTAATTTTTTCGTGATATAATGATCGGATTTAAACCACCTGCGAGGTAAAACCTTTCCTTTAAAAAAATAATTGTAGAAATAGGTTAACCTGGTCCAAAGTTATGCGGTAACATACATAAAAAAAATATTCCGACGAATTGATAACCATCTCCATTTTGTGAAGTCGGTTAGAAATTAAAAGTTGATTACTATTCTTGTTTGAAAAATTTGTTATTCGAGGTTTGAAGCCTATATAATGTTTGAAGAACGATGTTTGCGCATTGAGATCGAGTATTGAGCATTGAATATTGAGTTTCTGGCATTTTTTAATAATACTAGCATCGAGTATCACAACAAAATGTAATAAAAATATTATATTCTAAAAACTAAAGTAAACAAGAAGCAATGAAGATATTATAGCCAGTCGGTCTATTTCTTAGAGACCCGTAACGGATGTAAGTGTGTATATACATACATATATACACGAGTATGTACGTATGCGTGTATGCATACCCAGAAGATAATTTTGGTATACCTTCTTAAGTGAAGCCATTCTAAAAGGCCTACACAAGAAGGGCTGAAAAAAGTGCTTCCCTGCATGCCTTCTAGAAGGGCTTATCTATTTACAATTTACGCGAATGCATAACTTTATATTATTTAGCATTACAAATGAATTTCAATAAACATTTTAAGTTACACACACATATTTGATATAAACCTTAAGCAAATGCTTCAAAGATGTATGATTTCTATAAATTAAAGAAGCAACTTTAAAAGACCTTCTGAAGTACGGCCTATAAAAGCCCTTCTGCAAGGCCTTCTATGGGTAGCGAAAGAAGAAGCCCTTCAATTTGTGCCGCTCTATATAAAAAAGAAAAGAAGAAAGAAAAGAAGAAAGGAATGTAGAGTGGAAGGTCTCTTGCTCTCAGGAAGGCCTTTCGGAAGGGCTTTTAACTCCTGAAATTATCTACTGGGTATAAATGTGGTTAAAATAATTGTTAGAGAGCCAAAATAGTTTAGTTATAATGCATTTTGTTCATGGAATGCTTGATTGGTGCATAATTACAAGCTTCCCATCGTATATACATATCTATATATGTCTGTCTGTATACTTCCAATACAACTTTCTGTGAGCTATTTATTCATGTTATCATGTATGTATGTATATATGCATGTATAATAATTAGCTAGCTTGTGGAAAAGAAATGCGCTTACAACACTCAAACGAAAGCTTCTCTTTGTTCACAAAACGAATAGGATTAGATTTTATTAGGTACGAGAACGAGTGTAATATGTATGTTTTTTACTTTTGAAAACATGACACTATTTAATCAAAATCTTTATTCGTTTTCATAATATAATTTATCTATAACTGTTTTGGAAATTTTCGAATTCTCTGTATTAATGTAATTTGTATTTAAATTAACTAAGTGTATTAACCAGATTTTTCGCCTTTTTTCGTTTCCTTTTTTAAGTAGATATTTGAGTTAATGCGTGTGTCTTCGTATGCAATGGCTTATCTTTTTGTTTATAAGAAAAACACTTATAGTTAAATAACTTTTACTTAAAGTTTATGTAAACGTGATTGATAATATGATGTTCACTGAAAATAGAGTTTCAGAAAATGGAAGCGCACTGTTAGTCTCATCGGTAAGTTGAACACAAGGTGGAAAAGTTTTTTAAAACATTTCAAATTAGGAAGGCTGACTAGTAAACATCTTTGTATTGTATTTTACATTAACGGTGAAACAAAAACGAGCAAAAATTAGAAAACTAATAAAAAGGTGCTTGGATAACTTGTGGATTTTCTGTATATACATACATATGTTTGCTCTGGATACTTATGTATAAAAAATTAAGAATCTGTAGTAGCAAAAACTAAACATGAGGTTGCGCTAATGGTAAGGCTTGTAGAAAGTCTTAATCTAGCTTTAAATAAAAATAATGTACCTTTTAACGTTTTATTGAATCAGATTTCTTCAAAATAACAAACATAAAATTTTATTTGTTAGCAAAATTAGTTTTAAACAAAACATAGAGCATAAAACGTAACTAGCAACTAAAGAAAAATCAATAGAAATAATTACTAAAATTAAGTTGGTGTTACAAGCAAAGAAAAAGGTGGTGTTAGGTAATGTCTAAGGGATATGTAAATGCCAGTGTGGCATGCATGCATTACCAACGATCCCAACGTACTGTAAAATTGCTACCAACCTTATTGTCGAAATCTGCAAAATCAGCAAAACCACCACCTCCACCAGATGTATTGGATCCAAAAGCATCCGTAGATGGCTGAGTTGGTCGTGCGGGTCCCTGCGAATGAAAAAATAATTGTCTTTTAATTATTTTTTTTTTGTTTGAAACGTTTTAGTGAGCTTCGCGGACCTCGTTAACTTAGTGGCAATAATGGACATGAACATATCTCATATTATTTGTTTAAGGGAGGGTCACAGAGTGATATCATACATATTTTGAGGACAATTAACTTTAAGTCTACCACTAATCATCCGGACAGGGACAGCCTAACTTTAAATTAACATTTCAATATTTAAAACACAAAACCAATTGTGAACATTTCGGAAAATAGGGTTTTTTGAAGCGTAAACTCAATTTGATGTTAATACAAATTTAAGCAAAAAAGTTTTTGTGAATATTGCCGAAGTGACACCATTTGCCCACAACATAAACCGGGTCGTTACCGCAGCATAAATTTTAAAGTGGGAACTTACCTGCATTGGACGAGGCGGTGCTGGACGCGGTGGTGGCACCTTCGATTTCTTTGGTGGTAATGCAGGGCTTGGCGATTCGGGTCTTGGAGGTGGTCCTGATTTTTGAGTATTTGGGCTCAACACTTGTCCCTGGCCAGTGGGTGCATGTAATGCAGCAAATGGATCACTTCCAAAGTCATCTTTTCCCGGCTGCTTAGAAAAATAGCACGTCAATTTCCATAGATGTTTACATAATAAAACATGAATATACCTCTGGCGTTACAGCATTGCTAGCTTTATTTGCACTGAATGCATCGGCGCCAAACGGATCCTTTTGTGGCTGATTAAATGCGCTACTATTGCCGAATGCATCAAATCCGCTGTCACCAAAACCACTGGCAGTCGTGAAGCTGTCATCAAATCCACTGCGACCAGTAGATGTGTTAATGCTATTAGCCGCAAACGGATCATTGCTAAAGCCATTGCTGGTGAATCCGTTCGTAGTTAAAGTTTTCGTTGCCTGTGATGTGGTGGTATTTTCATCAAACGGATCATCCGCTTTTGGTTCTTCAATTTTCTTTTCAAGTGTTTGGCGCGCTTCACTGAAGTCTGGTTCTATTTTTAATTGATACTCTGAAACTAACTCAGCGTCTTGGTTTGAGATGGCCGCACGACACATCAGCAATGCATCAGTCATTTGACGCTGAGTTTCCATTAACTGTGTTACCATAGAACGTACCTGCAAAGCCAATGAAAATTATAACATACAATTGTCTTTTTTATATATACATATTATTTTACAGCCACACACCGAACTTATTTGCAATTGGGTATTTTGTAAATGTNTATATTTTTACAGCCACACACCGAACTTATTTGCAATTGGGTATTTTGTAAATGTTGTGTTAGCTTTTGTAATTCGCGATTATTTTGGTCATATTCCTTTTGCAGTGCTGCTTCTTCATCCTTTAGTTTCTGCAATTCAGATCGTTTTGCATTTAATTCACCCTCCTGCTCATTAATAGTTTCTTCCTGTTTCTGACATTGCTCGCGTATTTTGTTCACCTGCAAGAAGTGTGAAATTCTTTCTTAAATGTCGATTACATTCATGGAAAACATGCCAACACATATAAATACATTTATACAACCATGCAGATAACAGAATAATACATATACTTATTTATTAAAACAGTAATGAACTATGAAGAACAAAAAAAAAACATACATACATATTAAGTTATCGGAAATATTTAACAGACAATTGTGTTTTAGTATTGTATTTAAAGTATTAATATTATAAGCGCGACAAATTTTCCATACGAATCAGCGAAGGGACATTATGGTACGAAAACTGTGACATACAACAAAACAATTACAGAACAAAACATAGCCAAATCATAAATACCATAAGTAAAACCAACCTGATTTCTGAATTGGGATATATCTAATGTCAAATTTTCTAGTACCCTCTGGTAATCAAATCTCTAATAAGTAGTGTTTTTTTTTTTATTTATACCCAATTGCGAACATGGATGCGAATGTTTTGGTGGGTTTTGATAGTAAAAATAGTTGGGTGGTGCAAGGAAATGAGGAGCAATAATGTGGAGCACGGCGAAGATATGTAATATTAGTATGTGCACCAATTTTTACGTTTTTCACNGAATGAGGAGCAATAATGTGGAGCACGGCGGCGAAGATATGTAATATTAGTATGTGCACCAATTTTTACGTTTTTCACATATGGAAGAAATAAAAAATAAATTCGATTTTAAATAATATATAAAAAAACATTCTCAAGTATCAAGCAAACAAATACATATTTATGTATAAAAATATTTTGCAAACGCAAACTATTAAGAGAAATTTAAAATATATGTTTAAACATAAAAAATATAACTTTTTAGTTTTTGAAGCAGTATATTGCTTCTGAAACAAAATGAGTACTTGCCTGCGCTTGTAAATCATCTAAGCGTTTTTGTGCTTCACCACGTTGATTCTCCAACTGTTTTAGTGTAGCAGACAATGTATCTAATTCACTCTGAAATTAAAATTGCATTTTCAAAGGAGTTAAGTTATATTTTTCCACATATATCTAACCTGTAAGCTACGGACTTCTCCGGATTTAATGCGTATATCTGCTTCTTTCTGTGCGATTTCTGTTTCCAAAGCGCGCCGCTCTTTAGCAAGCTCTTCGATTTCCTTAGAAATCATTTCTAGCTCTGGATTAGAATATGTCGGCTTTGGTTCCTGGCAAGGCAAAATACTCATGTACAAATAGAAACTAAAAAATTTTTTGTCAAGCAGTTTACTTGTGGTTGCAAATCCACGCCGGAGACTGTGCTACGCATAGACGGTGGTACCATATTGGCTGTCAGTACTTGTGGTGGCTCAATGCCCTTTTGTTTACGTTCCACCATCCACATGGCCAAGGCAAACTGCTCCAGTGTTAGCTTGCCTGATTGATTTGTGTCACAAAGCGCCCTAAAAATAATGTTTATGTCTTGTATCCGGATATTTGTTGGCAAGATATTTACGAGTATCACATCACATCAAATGGAAAAGAGAGTAAGTTTTTATTTGTGTTTAAAGAGAAAATATGAAACTTAAGCAATTATTTAAATTATAGAGCCTTCATAATTATCTATGTATAATTTTAATTATATGCAGGGTAAATTAAAATATAAATATAAACTGTGATTTTTTGAAATTCTCAAAAAAATAATTAAACCGATGAGAAATTCTATAAAAATCTTGTGATTTAGCTTGAATGAAAGACCTTTAAATTAACACTATTATTTAATTTTTCTCAATGGGAAATAAAAAAAAAGTTTCCAAAAACACATATAT